TGTAAAATTTCCCAAATGGTTTATACGCCCTTATTCGGCTCCATGCTTCAATTATTTGAGGAGTTTTATTTTTTCCATCAAAAAATAAAACTCATTTGGGGACTATTATTTTTTCCGTCAAATAATTAAACAATTTTTCTTTATTTTTTTCAGTCTCTTATTTTATTGAATATATGTATCTGATATAATATGTTTGGTTATTTATTTGTTTAATTTAACAAACATAATTTTTTCCAAATTTTCTGCGGTAAGATTTGAACGCAGGTCACTTAATACCAATTTAAGAGCAGAGAACGCTCTTTCCACGCTAACCTGTGTTGCAGGAACACACTGTACAGTTTTTGCCAATTTGTATAAGTGGGGGTAATGTTTTTTTTTTGCTTCCCAGAACTCAAAAAGGGACTTATCAATCGACAAGGGCCGTGTAGAAAAATTATCAATTTCATAGAAAGCTCTTTTTTCATCATCATTAACATTTTCTTCGTTTTCTTGCTCCCTATCTGATCAGTGGCAAGCTTTAGGTGTCAATTCACATAAAAGAGTTTTATTTTCTGACGGAAAAAATAAAACTCCTCAAATAAGTATTATTTTCTGACGGAAAAAATTAAATTCCTCAAATAATTTTTATTTTATGACGGAAAAATAAAACTCTTTTTTAAAAGTTTCATTTGAATTTTTATTTTTAGGTTGAAAAATAACTTTTTCAGATGGATTTTTATTTTTAAAGTCACAAAATAACTGTTATAAATTAACTTTTTTGATATAACTTATAACTGTTACGGTCCCTGGGAAATTCTCGACCCTTTACAAAAAATTTCAAGCCAATATCTCAATTACATTCAAAAATATGTTCATTTAAACCTGTGTCCTTTAATTTCATCTTTTTCATATTTTAGTATTAAGTATGACAGAACATACATTTGGTGTTGAATAAAATATTTGGACAATTTAAATAAAAATAATAAATAATAAAAATAATAAATAAATAAAATTTAAAAATTATTTAGTTAATTATTTTATTAAAGACTATTATAACATTGTATATACAATAAAAAAATTATAATTTTATTATGAGCCACGCACAACAACACCTAAATCACCCCACACAAATCACCTTTCCCGCCCACCGAAATTTAAAACACAATTTAATACAATATCATCAGTTAGTATAATAGCTTTTTTTATTTGAACTGTTTATCTTAAACATAATACAATTAATTCTTACAACCTACTTATATAGTTAATTCCTAACACTACTTATTTTCTATAAAATAATCTGTCATATCGGTATACATATCCAGAAGGTAATATAAGTCCTTTAAATCTTCCTTGTTTTGAGATGATAGAGTTTCATAACAAATCCATCTTTTTCGCATAGTTGAAAGAACAGGATCAGAAGATAGAAGTAAACTATTAAAAATATCTTCATTCTGTGATTGCCTGGAGCATTTTCTTGAGCTGAATAGTTGAACATGCTTAAAATCTCGATTCCTCGCTTCCTGGGCTTCTTCTGTTAACTCTCCAAGTGGAAGAATATTCGATTCAATTATTATTTGACCATGACACAATACTTTGTGTACTGTTGGTGTTAGTTCCCTCCATGGATACAGAGATACAAGTAATTTAGAAATTTCAGATGTATATTCCCCAAATCGATTTCCATTAATTTTATGTTTACTATTCAGTGCCATTAAAGTAGTGTTAACTCTTCGAAGCAACTCCTTGTCGATTCCAGTTATTTTTGAAGTAATTTCAAAATCACGAAAAAACCTTCTCGCCGTATTACCGTCATTTGTACTACCGCAACTTGGAAGTGGTTTGTCGATGTTTAATCCCATCTGAACTTTAAATTCTTCTTGGATTCTGCTTTTTTCCGCAGCTCTCAGTTCTTTCAATTCTTCATTATTTTTTGTTGATTTAGTAAGATTCCCTGGCACACTTCTATATTTGACGTCGTATGCTATGTGTAAAAAGTAATCCAAAAATCGTATTCTGGCATGAAGTGGTGAAATTCCGAAAGACAGGACTTCTTCATTAATACTTCTGCTTTTGTTTATATTTGAGAATTGCGACTTTTTCTCATTACATATTGAGCATCTCCAGAAGGAAGAAGTTTCTGTTATGGCATTGCTGACCTTTCCATCAATCATTGTTAAGCTTAGCTGATATGACACGTTAATAGAGAATTCCTTTATTTTTATGCAAATGGGCTCCAGTGCATTTATTTCATCTTTTAAATATTCCACTAAATCTTTTGTTGTTTTCTTTGACTCCTTTATATATTCAAATCCAATGGGTCTACAAAAATTTTTTGAACCCGGAGTTGTATTGATCCATATATCTTCAAATGAATTTCCGATGCTTGACGATGATGGATTAAGGGAATATGAACGAATTCGTAATGGCACTAATGATGACATAAATACACTTTTGTAGTCTGCTAATGTCCGACTTCCACAAGCTTGTTTGTATTCTGGAAGTGCTGATAAACCGTCACATCCTCACTTACACAGTAAGACAACATCACAGTTATGAATTTTCCTTAGTTGGTCTTCTGAAAAGTCTGACACAATTCTTGATGCTGTGTTTTCGAGCAAAGATGATATATCAATACAAGCTTCCACATCATTAACAGCAATAGGTGATGGTAGGATAGTTTGTTTTTTTTCCCTAGATCGCCTTGTATGATGGTAATATATTGTGTCCTTTTTCATGCAGAGCTTTCCTTAATATTTGGTACTTATTTCGACTGAGACCCAGTTCCAACATAAGCGCTATTGCTTCCTCTTCAGTAAAATTTGATTATGATGTTGGAGTTGGTATACTTTCCACAATTCGCTTAAGTCGTTTTGGTGATGCATTAGGAAGAATAGTTGCAATATGTACGACATCCATAGGTTGGTTTTTCCTTTTCAGCATTTCGTTAAATGTATCAGCAATTTCCTCATTTGAGATAAGTCTTCGTATGACTTGCAAGGCGCTCCTGTTGATGTGTTGTAAGTTGAGATTTCCGTAGTAGTTTCCATCCAACTACAAAATTTTAATCGAAATTTCTTTTGATTTCCATCCACAGACTTACTTTTTACATCAAAAATTCTTAAAAAGTTTTCAATTTTTGATATGCCTGTTTTGTCTACTTTTCTACTATATGTAGTTTTTATATAATTTGAAATGTCTTCAATTCTTTCTGGCCCTTTTGAAGATACACTCCATAAAACGGAACACAACTCTTCGTACTTTAATGTAATCTTCATTGTAGATTTATTAAATATGGTACTTAAAATCTGAGAAGTTTACTTATATGCCAATTCTTGTCATTTCCGATACAGGTATTCCAAAGTAAAAAATTACGAATTGTCTACCTATTAACATTTAGGACTATATTACTATAACCTGTAATTCAGTCATTGATATTTCTTATTAGAGAATGAATCGAAATTATCATTACCTGTATATTTTTACCTACATGATCATAAACGAAAGAGAACGAAATGATCTGTCGGAAAAATTTAGGTAAAAAATAGTTATAAATTTCTGAAAATTTAAGCATAATAGGACCTTTCAATTATAAGGATAAGCAAACAAATAGAAAATAGGTAAATATAAGATTTAAATATGTTCTGTCATATTTATTACTAAAATATGAAAAATATGAAATTAAAGGATACAGGTTTAAATGAACATATTTTTGAATGTAATTGAGATATTGGCTTGAAAATTTTTGTAAAGAATCGAGAATTTCCATATCTAACTAAAAAAAGATATTAAGGGATAAATATGGACTAAATTGTTGTAGCTATCTGCGACCCTATTAAAATTTTGATATAAATCATAGTTTTAGAAATTAAACAAATATGTAATATATGACAAAATGAAAATCCCACAAATGGGATTTTTACTTTTTTGCCCACAGGGTCCACATTTCTTTCAGGGCTGGGAAAATACTTTTGGAGTAAATATGAAACATATTGAGGTTTCCAAAAATGCTTTCAGTTTTCTGATCCCAGCTTTGGGATTTTAGAACATGTCGCCCAAAGTTGAAGTTTTGATAAAAAATAGGTCATATTCGGAAGGACGCAGTGGCAACATTTTCAAAAAATAGGACAAGTTTTTTACGCCAAAGTGTTCTGCGTAAAGATACCTTTTAGAAAACTATGTACGATGAAGAGCTTTTTCTTCACCGGCAACGTTATAGAGCAATTCGGTTTACTTTGAATTGTTGTCTATAGGTTGCTGAAATTGTTCTATGGGCAGTGATTATCTATAAAACAAAATAAATTACGACCGTGGTACCGACAAATGAAAAGAGCGATGTTTTTCGATTGACTATGACAATGATTTATTTATTTAAAAATTCTTTTCTTAAGCCTAACAATTGATCATGTAAATAAGGGCTACACTGTTGTTATTGTAATATTATTTGTTTCTCACTTCCAATGTACCAACTCAACTTGTTTATTTATATTCAAAATATGCAAAAACAAAATACATGCAATAAGTCTCCAAAATAAGAAATTGCATTTTTAAGAGCAACAACAATATGCTTATAATAAGAATTGGAGTGAGAAACAAATAATAAAAACTAACGGGTCATTACCAAAAATATGTACAGTGGTTAGTATGAACAAAAAATAATGACAAATTACAGTGGCAACAGTGAGCCAAAAATATGAATAAATTTAAATACAATAAAAAATGGAAAATTTAAACAAAACAAAATAATAATGTTAGTAATTATTATACGGTGACCTAACATTCCGGCCCCATTGAAAGGACACTTTCAAGAAGATAGAAGAGCCAGTCTGTGGATAGGGCGACGTATAACTCCTTTTGTAGTTTTGATGTCGACAACTCGAACACGATAATCTCTTCCACGAACAATGTTGATGATTTTACCCATGAGCCAACGCTGCGGGGGTAAAGTATCTTCTTTGATGATGACTAGGGAACCAGGGGTAATATTAGAGTTGGTGCTAGTCCATTTGTTGCGAGTCTGGAGCTCATTTATATAATCGGGCCCAATATTCAAGTTTGTTAATCTCATTTGTAGGGACATCACGTTCTGGCAAACTACGGAGGGGAGCGCCTATCAAGAAGTGTCCTGGTGTAAGAGCTTCAAAGTCACTGGGATCTGAGGATAGAGGCGAAATGGGCCTCGAGTTTAAAACTGCCTCTATCTCAATCATAGCCGTTGCGAGTTCTTCGTAGGTGAGCCTTGTGTTGTCCAGGGTTCTGGTTAAGTGACCTTTGGCCGATTTGACGGCCGCCTCCCACAATCCGCCAAAATGTGGTGCCCTAGGGGGAATAAATCGAAAATTAATAAAATGATTCGATCAATAATTTGTAATAAAATTTGAATTTTTTGGCTCAAAAAGGAACGACTTTAATTGAGCCAACTTAGAGTTTGCACCAACGAAATTTGTTGCATTATCACAGAATATATCTGTGGGCAGACCTCTACGACCAATCATCCGTTTTAGGGCAGCAATGAAGGCATCTGTTGACAGGTCGGATACCACTTCAATATGGACAGCTTTGGTAGCGAGACAAACAAATATAGCGATGTATGTCTTGTAGGGGACCTTTCCTCTAATTCTTAGGTAGGTGTTGACTGGACCACAAAAATCGACAGCACACCTTGCGAAGGGCCTTGACGGGTTGAGTCGTTCCACAGGCAAATTTCCCATCATTTGTTGCAACAATTTTGGGCGATAGCGAATGCATTGAGGGCACGAATTTACAATGCTGCGACACAAATTCCTGGAGTTGATGATCCAAAATTGTTGGCGAATCAATGACATTAGAGCCTTGGGTCCAGCGTGGTAGTTACTGATGTGCAGATGACGTACGTAACAGTGGACGAAATGGCATTTGCTGTGCAAGATTATGGGGTGTTTTTGGCCTTCAGAAATTGCCGCGTACTCCAAGCGTCCGCCGACCTTGAGCAAGTTGAAACCATTTGACGAATCTAGGAAGGGGTTCAGACACTTTAGAGCACCTTGGGGATCTTTCTTCTTTAGAGCTCGAGTTATGTCATCTTGAAAATGTAGTTTCTGGATGTTGAAAACGATACAAAGTTTAGCATTTTCTAATTCTTGGGGCTGCAAAGAGTCAGAATTGGAAATATTAGTTTTTGTTTTTTGAGCAAAACGAAACATCCAGGCAATAATACGAATGATTTTTAAGTACGAGCTATATTTTCCAACAGAATCGAGGATGTAGTTAGATTTTGATTCAAGATGAAGTACGGTTTTCCGTTTTTCTTTGTCGAATACTTGCTGATTTTCTTCGGAGAGTTTATCAGTTTTAGTAGGGGGCCACTGAACAGGATCGAGAGCGAGAAATGCTGGTCCGTTGAACCAGATGGATGAGGCGAGTTCCTGCACAGTTGAACCACGAGAAACGATGTCAGCAGGGTTGAACTGGGTTGGGACATGTCGCCAAACGCAGCCATTAGTTAGATCTTGAATTTCTGATACCCTATTGCCAACAAAAACTGACAAAGTAGATGAATGTTGCTTTAGCCAGTGAAGAACTAGTTGCGAATCTGTCCACAGAACGACTTCCAGATTTGGTATTGCGAAAAGATTTTTGATTTTGGAATACAATTTTGCTAGAAGTTGTGCGCCACATAACTCAAGTTTGGGTAACGATTTTCGCTTTGTAGGAGCCACTCTAGATTTGGCAGTAAAGAGCCGAACAACAACATTTCCTGAAGAAGTTTTAACACGAAAGTAAAAACAACAACCATAAGCACGAATTGATGAGTCACAAAAGCCATGAAGTTGAACTGATTTAGAATCAGGAGCGAGACAAAAACGAGGAATTTTAAGTGAAGGTAATAGTTTGAGATCAGAGACGAAAGATTTCCAAGCCGAGTGTATTTCTTGAGGTACAGACTCATCCCAGCCAATTTTTAGAATCCACAACTCTTGCATGATGATTTTAGCTTTTATTATGAGAGGGGATAAAAGTCCTAGGGGATCGAAAAGCGCTGACGAGAGCGACAAAATTGTACGTTTGGTTATTTTTTCATCAATTTGGACTTTAGGCGAAAACAAAAATAAGAAAACATCTTTTTGTTGGTCCCAAGAGATAACAAGAGCGTTAGTTACTGCAGAATCTTCAATATTAAGGTCTTTGACAGTTTTGTCGTCCTGAAAATCTCTATGATTAGAGTGCCACTTATCTAATTGAAACGAACCACGAATTAGAATTTCATTAACCTCCTGCTTCATACGAGACAATTCTTCAAGCGTATCTGAGCCACAAAAAAAAATCATCAACGTAAAATGATGACTTAATGGTTTTTGCACCAAGTTCGAATTGGTCCATGTATTGGTCTGCGAGATAGTGAAGGCTTTTGATGGCAAGGTAGGGCGCAGCTGACATTCCATAGGTGACTGTATTTAGGTGATATGTTCGAATTTCTTCCTCTTCTGAATTTCTCCACAAAATATATTGGAATTTTCTATCTTGGGAGTCAATAAGGACTTGTCGATACATTTTTACTATATCGGCAGTAAGAGCGAAGCGATGAAGACGGAACCGAAGTAAAATTTTATACAGCTCATCTTGAATTGTTGGGCCAACCATAAGAAGATCATTGAGAGACTTCTGGGACGATGATGGACACGAGGCATCGAAAACAACTCTTAACTTTGTGGAAGTGCTACTTGGTTTGAAAACGCAATGGTAAGGGATGAAATAATGAGGCTCGTGTAGACGAGGGCTACGAACTAGACTCATATGTCCAAAATCTTCATACTCCTTCATAAAAGCAACATATTGTGATTTAAGATTGCTGTCACGAGCAAATCGTCTCTCTTGAGATACAAATCTTTTAAGAGCCATATTTCGAGAAAGACCTAAAGCGTCAGGAGATTCCTTGAAGGGCAATTTAACAACAATCCTACCAGAAGATTCACGATGAACAGTATCATTGAAAAATGTTTCACATTCAGATTGTTCTGGTGTCAAATCATTTGAGCCAGATTGAACTTCATCGATTTCCCACAAGCGCTGTAATTTAAGATCAATATCTTCTTCTATCGAGAGCATACAAGAAGAGCCACAAATATTGGGTTGTTTTGATACATAACGACCTGCTACAATCCATCCGAAAAGTGTTTTGTGTAATTTAGGCAAATTAGGGCCAAGTTTTATTTGACCAACTGCTAAAATGTCGAAAAACGTTTCAGTACCAATAAGTAAATCAATTCGTTTTGATTTGAAGAAGTTTTCATCCGCAAGTTCAGTATTTGGGGGCAAATTCCAGGATGAGACATCTAATTCATTATCAGGTTGATATGAAATATGAGGTGTGACACAAAATGAGAGCGAAACTTCAAAATCTGTGACTCGAGATTTTACATTTGTGGACGACCTATATTTAGATTTGCTAAGAGTGTTACCAATGCTAGAGACTTCAGTAGTTTGTTTTGTACGAGGCAAATGTAATTTTTGGGAAAATTCATCGGTTATGAAATTCAATTGAGAGCAAGAATCTAACAAAGCGCGTCCCAATTGATAGCGACCAGTGGAATCACGAACTAGAACCATGGCAGTAGCAAGCAGCACCAGTTCCGGCGAGGATTTTTCCATATGGGTATGGACCGAGGCAGAAGATTCATTCAAGGCAACATGAGAAGTAGTAGGTTCAGCAGCAGGGGACGAGGGCCGAGAAGCTGGCTGAGACCGATGAAGCAAACTATGATGCGAGCGAGAACAAAATTTGCACTTGAATGTGGAGGAACAACTACTTACTTGATGCCCTTTGGACAAACAATTTAGACAAAGGCTTAGACGTTTTGCATTTTCATACCTTTGACTAACATCCATATCTTTGAACCGAGAACAACGACTAATTGAGTGGTCAGATTTGGAGCAAAGCACACAAGAGCGTTTTGATACCGAAAAAGTATAGCCAGGTTTTGAATTTTTAGATTTGGACTTACCAGATTGATGATCAGGCTTGGTTGGTATCAACCGATTCCAAAAATTGACAACGCCTTTCAAGGACCTTGGAGCAATCATCCCATGTTGGCAATCTGGTAAAGTCCAAGGAATCTTTCCACTTTCTTCTGGTATCTTCATCCACTTTTTCCATCACTATGTAAATCAGCATGGAATTAGCAATATCACTATGTGAGCCAAGAGACAGTAAGGAACTATAAAGGGCAGAAACATTATCGACGAGACTTCGTAATTGGGCACAATTGTATTTGGACATGGCAGGAAGTTCAAAAAGGGCGGTAATATTTTCCATAAAAATAAGCGAGCTATTATCATAACGCGTTTTGAGCCTTTCCAGAGCCTTCGGGTAATTTTCGTTCGTAATCTGGAAAGCCTTGACCGTTTCTAGAGCTTGGCCTTGGAGGCAGTTGAGCAAATTATTAAACTTTTCAATATTTGATAGGCCAAACTCGCGATCGATAACTTGATTGAACGACGTAATGAAATTTTTGTACTCACTGTACTTACCACTAAATGTGGGCAATTTCAGCTGAGGCAATTTGTGGCTGGGAGCTGGGAAACAAATGGTGGACTCGGACAATGTTGTATTATGAACATCTTCACCAAGCTGCGACTGGATATTCATTTTGGCTGAGATGTACAAATCCTCTATTTCGGGCCTAGCATTGTCCTCGGGATCGTATTTTTCAATTAGGGTTTGATACGTCAGTATCTGCTTAAAATACGACTCCAAAATCCCCAAACGGCACTTCAACTCGGCTGACGAAAGTGTCTTACCTTCTCCCCTTCCATTGGCTTCGATTTGGTTCTTGATGCGGGTAATGCTCTTCTTAGTGTTAGCCCGTTGCTGCTTAACCTCCTCCAGAGTCATCATAAATTTTCAATAAGTAAGGTTAGATGAGCCAAAAATGTCCAAAAGTATTTACAAAATGGATGACACGCAATATTCCGAGCGACAAATTAAATATACACAGAATTTTATATTATATACTGGAACCAAGAGCGAACAAATGTATGTATTTTCTTGTATATAAAAATTTGCGGTAAAATTTTAGAGTCACTATTTTATTTTTCCACAAAAACTGTTCTTATGTATTGAGCCGACAAAATTTTTATAATGTTTGTAATAGGTTTTTTTTTAAATAGATTTGTAATAGGTGCGTCACCAAAAATTTGTTTAACAGTTTTTTATATATGTTGCACTGTCTCTTGATTTTTCGAATAGTTTTTTTATATGTTTTCTCAGAGTTTTTTTTTAATGTTTAATTTTTTATTTTTGTTGCACAAAAGTTTTTTATTTGAACCACAAAGCTTGTTTTTATTTCTGTAGCACTAGATATTGCTTTTATCATAGAACCACAATTTCCACTTCACAATACGACCGTACACTTTTACTTTAAGTTGTACTTCAACGACAATTTTAGAATATACCACGGACCGAGAACGACAAATTTAGTAAGATTTAGATTAATCACGTGCCCCACGTTGGGCGCCAAAATGTACGATGAAGAGCTTTTTCTTCACCGGCAACGTTATAGAGCAATTCGGTTTACTTTGAATTGTTGTCTATAGGTTGCTGAAATTGTTCTATGGGCAGTGATTATCTATAAAACAAAATAAATTACGACCGTGGTACCGACAAATGAAAAGAGCGATGTTTTTCGATTGACTATGACAATGATTTATTTATTTAAAAATTCTTTTCTTAAGCCTAACAATTGATCATGTAAATAAGGGCTACACTGTTGTTATTGTAATATTATTTGTTTCTCACTTCCAATGTACCAACTCAACTTGTTTATTTATATTCAAAATATGCAAAAACAAAATACATGCAATAAGTCTATAAAATAAGAAATTGCATTTTTAAGAGCAACAACAATATGCTTATAATAAGAATTGGAGTGAGAAACAAATAATAAAAACTAACGGGTCATTACCAAAAATATGTACAGTGGTTAGTATGAACAAAAAATAATGACAAATTACAGTGGCAACAGTGAGCCAAAAATATGAATAAATTTAAATACAATAAAAAATGGAAAATTTAAACAAAACAAAATAATAATGTTAGTAATTATTATACGGTGACCTAACAAACTATAAAATTGTTATATGTTCTTAAAGAAAATTTTATTTTATTAATAAAAGAGTTAAGACACATTTTTGGCAAAAAAACGGCAAAAATCTAAAATTTTTTGAATTTTTAAATTAAAAAACGTATATTTTTGGATCTGTAAATGATATTGATCTGAAATTTTTTGTATATTATTGGAAATTTTGTTGTCTAACTAACAAGAAAAAATTGAGTCCATTTGGTCCAAAATTACGCCCGGTATTCAAAAAAAGGCGGACCAAGGTATGGTAAATTTTGTATCACTAAATTTTTAAATGCCTATAACTCGGATATTATAAGAGATAAGTAGTATGTATAAGTAGTATCTTTGTATTTGGGTGAAAAACAAAAAAATGGCACGAGTTTAAAAGTTTTACATGTCGTAGGTACCCTACTTTGAGCCGCCACAGCGCCGTCCCTCAAATACTCCTTGGCTACGCTCACGCCAAATTTTATCCCGATCGGATCAGCCGTTTAGAAATGCCAGATTTATTTCCAAAAAATTTCGATTCTGCCCCACGAACACAGATAGAAGTCCATACAATAGAGCTAAGTGAGGGTACGTTACCAATAAAAGATAGATATTACCCTGTTTCACCTACCGTACAAGAACTTATATACGCTGAATTGGATGAAATGTTAAAATTAGGGGTAATCGAAATTAGTCAATGTCCTTGGAGTAACCGCTCCACTTTATTAACAAAACTCGGTAAAAACAGACTTTGCCTGGATGCAAGAAAACTCAACGAATGAACAATCAGAGATGCATACCCAATCCAAAATTTATAAGGAATACTGAGTAGGTTAGACCAGGGCGGCCGTTGTATCAATATGTTGTGATGCCTTTTGGTTTGTGCAACGCTGCGCAAAGACTGTGTAGACTCATGGATAAAGTTATTCCTCAGGAATTAAAATCCAATGTCTTCGTCTATTTAGACGACTTATTTGGTCATTTCATCTAACTTTGATGACCACCTAAATCTGTTAAAGAAAGTATCCGAATGTCTTAGTAAAGCGAACCTTACCTTATGATATAGGTGAGGTATTGTTTCAAAAGGACGAAGAGAATAACGAAAGACCGATTTCATTCTTCTTTCAGAAACTAAACCAAGCACAAATGAACTACAGTGTCACTGAAAAAGAATGTTATGCAGCAGTAATAGCAATAAAACGATTTAGGCAATATGTAGAGTTGATGCCATTCACAGTGATAACTGATCATGCTAGCTTGAAATGGCTTATGTCATTAAAAGACTTGAGTGGAAAGCTAGCAAGATGGGCATTGAAGCTACAATCTTACGACTTTAAAATAGAACATAGAAAAGGTTTAATGAATGTAGTATCGAGGTTAGTGGAGGAGATAATGGTAGATAAACAAAATGTACTGGGGTTTGATACAGTGGAATATGATTCCGAAGAATACCTAAATTTAATAGACTCTATAAGGGAAAATCAAAATAAACTACCGGATATCAAAATATATAAAAGGACAAATACTAGTTCAGAAATAGAAAATTTAGACGAATTTCAATGGAAATTATGGGTACCTGATAATCTAACAGATACCCTAATTAGAGAAGCTCATAATCCGGAGGGTAAAGCCCACGGTGGCATTAATAAAACATTACATCGCCTCAGAATTAGATACTACTCGCAAAATATGCTTTTACAAGGAATTACATACAAAACTGTACAATCTGCAAGGAAACAAAGTCTGCAAATATCAATCAAATGCCTGAAATTGGTTCTAAAGTTTCAACAGTAAGACCATTTCAGAAAATATATATTGATTTCTTAGGGAAATATCCGCGATCAAAAAATGGTAACGCATACATTTTTATAGCTATGGACCATATGACAAAATTTGTATTTTTGAAGGCAATGATAAATGCAACTGTGGTTAAATTTCTCACAGGAGAAGTTTTTCATATATTTGGTGTCCCTGAGATTATACACTCAGATAATGGAAGACAATTTACGTCCGAAGAATGATTCAATTATATGAAATTAACCACATGGAAACATCAGTATATGTTCCTCAATCAAACGCCTCTGAAAGAGTGAATCAAAGTGTACTGGCGGCTATAAGAGCGTATCCACAAAATGATCATCGCGATTGGGATGTAAATCTGCCTTCAATAGAACTATCGTTACGCACATCAGTCCGCACAGCAACAGGTGTTAGTCCTTTCTTTACATTGTTCGGACATAACATGTTTACATGCGGATCTGATTAAAAATTGGCAAAACGTTGGATGACAATGAAATATTTATAGAAAGATCGAACAAAATCAGACTTATTAGGGAGAAAATCAAAGAGAACATGTATAAAGTATTTGAACGAAGTTCACTTAGGTTTAATAGAAATGCTCAAATAGTACGATTTGTGCCAGGCCAAGAAGAAACTTTATTCTAAGCGATTTTAAAATCAATATAAACCCCAAATTCTGCCGAAAATTTATGAAATGCAGAATTCGCAGGGTTATTGGCAACAATATGTACGAGCTGGAAAGTCTAACAGGTACACCACTTGGAATCTATCACGCCAAGGATATAAAACAATAAATAAAAGCACAACCCTTCAATGCAGCTTAATTTGAAAATTTATTAATAATGTTACCGACAGTTGTCTATATTACTAAAAACTACAAATGTTAAAAGCAATCGACCCCACTTTTACAACCATGTCAATCTTCTTTTCTATCTTTACACCTTATACAAAAACAAAATATAAAAATACCCCGCCATTTAAAGAACAAAATTGTCAAAAAGTTATAAAAAGAAAGAACTAAGGTAAAATCAAATGTATTAAAAATTCATAAAGAAATAAAATTAATAAATTTCGCTTACAGAATTTTAAAGCGACTAACTGCTACGAAAACTTAGTCTTTAATTCAACAATTTCTTTAAAATTCTTATATACTCAAAAATATGGCGCAATACAATCCAACCTTAGTGTCCAATTGTGTGTTGTGTACTGACCCGGAAGATGAAAAAATGGTTACTTGTTCTAATTGTCTTTACAGCTAGCACAAAAGCTGCTGTAATATAGATAATACTTCTGATATATTTCTATGGAGGTGTCAACAATGTACTATTGGTATCGGGCAGCATACATGACATACATAACCTCAATGCATCAAACCCATCTTCAGATTCCAGTTTAGAAGTTATTGAGGAATTTCTATAACAGCGTCCGCCACAAACAGTCTCACAGACTCCTCAAGTCACAGCAGATATGGCAAACAGTAATACTCAATTGAAATTGCAACAGCTGGAGGAAGAAATGCGTTTGAAAGAAGAGTATTTGCGGCGTAAGTATGATTTACTACGTGCTAATAATGATGAGTGCCATCACAAAGACGATAATTCGCAGACACAACTGCTACAGCCGGAGTCTAATATAATGAATAATGTTGCATCAATTAGACCACAGTGTGAACAAAATTATCGACATAATGTCGATAACTCAACTAATAACAGTGCCAATAACACTTGTAATCAATGCTTAGCACAGACACAAACCTTCGATCCATTCTCACCACTAATTAATCAACATTGTCAATGTACAAAGGGTTATATAGTGAACATACCCACGTCAATCAATATACTTATGACGTCACACAACAAAGTAAACACATGACAAGTTGTCAATTTAATAATTTTTTTTGTCTTAAAAACAACAATAATAAGCAAAAACAAACAATTGTGAAAATAGTTGTGAAGACAATAATTTAAACATTACCACTACACAA